TAGTGATCCAGGCTCTGGAGGCAAATCCCAAAATTGCTAGACAACTTGCCTGTCTCCAGAATCGCTAGTGTGAGACATGGGCCTACTAGCCAGTTAACTGTTACTTGTTCCATTTCAAACTCTGAGAAACTATTGAGGCCTTTAGATCCATCTAAGGCCAAGGTCAAAATGGTGATCTAGTCTCAGGTGGCAAATGACAAAATTGTTAGACTACTCTAGCCTGCCTCCAGGATCGCTAGTATGAGATGTGAGCCTGTTAGCCATGTGACTTACTTGTTCAGTTCAATCTCTCAGAAAGTTATGAGACCTTTAGATCAGCCTAAGGGCCATGTCACTCACGCAATCCAATTTCTGGTAGCAAATTGCCAAAAACAGAACTGCTAAAGGGATTACTCACCTGCTCCTTTGAGGTTGCTATCAGCAGAATCAGCAGAAGGAGTGAGGAAGAAGTGAGAGTCACACCTCATTGGTTCAGCTAGAAAGGAAGCAGCACCATAAAACAGGCATAACTAAATAGCGGACCACGGTCCGGATCAGGACCAAGCCACTGTTCCATCTGGATCCGCCGTCAAGCCATTTAGGAGCCGTTTCTTTCCACCAGCCTCCACCACTTTTATTATAACAGCAGAGCAGAGAGACGTAGATAGAACATTTGTGGAGTCACAGCACAGCATTGAACAGTGTGCGGGAGCTGCGGGGGTTAACTTTTTAACTTAACCAGTAGGTGATTGAATGCAGGTTGGTCCTAGCTGGTTGATACAAAAAGGTAACTGTGCTGTGACTCCCATACTCGGTCCACAAATGTTCTATCTACCGCTCTCTGCTCTGCTGGTATAATCAAAGTGGCAGAGGCTGGTGGAAAGAAGCGGCTCATAAATGGTGTGACTGTAGGTCCAGATAGAACAGTGGCTCGGTCCTGATCCAGACCGTGGTCCGCCATTTAGTGATGCCTATTCTATGGTGCTGCTTCCTTTCTAGCTGAACCAGTGAAGTATCACTTTGTGAAGGGGGGCAGTGCTCTGTGTGTGTGTGTGTGTGTATGTGTGTGTGGGGGGTGATGTAAAGGGGGACAATGCTGTGGGAGGGAGATGTGAGGGGGGAGATGTGAGAGGGGCAGTGCTGTGGAGTGTTGTTTCATGTGAAGGGCAGAATACACTACTGTTGGGGGAGATTTGTGATGTGAGAGGGGGGCGGTATTGTTGAGGGAGATGTAAAGGAGGGCAATGCTGTGGGGGGGATGTAAAGGGGGGCAGTGTTGTGGGGGAGAGGATGTAAAGGGGGGGTGATGATTTGAAGGGTTGAGGACTGCTGTCATTAATTGGGGTTTGTAATGTGAAGAAGACTCCGTGAACTATTGTAAAGGGGGTGGGGGTGATGTGTAGGGGGCCTGCAAACACAACTGTGAAGGGGAAACTGATGTGTGTGTGTAGGGGAGGGACTGAGGACACTGATGTAAGGAACTGTAATGTAGGAGGAGAGGGCTGAAAAAACATGCTGTTTGGACCTCTCCTGGAAGAAAATTTTACTGGTCGGACCTCCATAAATTTTAATTTAATACAACTGCCCTAGAAGATGCTGAGTGTCCTCAGGAGATCCTGTTCCTAGTGAGTTGCTCAAAGCCAGACAACTATATTTTCACTAGGAAATTTCTGAAATGATGGGAAAAGTTATTTAATGGGTTAGGTCACCTTTTTAGAAAAAAAAAGAAAAGGTGAACTAACACCGTACACTCTCCCTACTCTATTTACCTGCATGGTTGATGGGCTGTTGGTCCCCATACAGTCCAGTAGACACAGATACAACACCTCCTGCGCTCGGGGACCCAGATCAGTAGAGGGCCGATAAACCAATATAAAGTATGAGATATGGAAGTTCCTCCAGGACCGATCAAAGGTTGTGCGGCTCTGACACAAAGCTGGGGAAGCTCGATACAAACTGTAGTAAAGAACAAAAAGACAGAGCAAAAAACAAAAAAATCAAAAAACAGAGTGCACCAACCTTGCGCATCACCTCAGTAAGCAATTAGTAGATTTATTGATATAGGAATAATCTCACAAGATACCCCCCTTCGAAACGCGTCAGTATCATCCTGAGAGTCTCCCCTCCTGATGGGGTTTGCACGCGTCTCCCAATTCAGGGACTCGTTTTTGGGATTTTATATGCCTTTTAGACTGCTACTCTTGTGAGTATATTTCCTATATCGAGGTGCCCATACAGCCCATGGATTTGAAATCCCTACTCTTCTCTATCTTCTTTCTGCCGGGATTCCAGGACAAACCAGAGCTCTGTGTCGGCACTGACCAATCACAATCACTCTGATCCATCCACTAAGTGCTGCAGAAAGGAGAGGGAGAACAGCAAGGCTTTTATCAACCTGTACCACTACCCGGGCATTGAGAGCTCGTAAGTACGGATGGTACTGAAGGGGGACGTGTGGGGGGAGGGTGTTCGGTGTTAGTTCACCTTTTCCTTTTATCTGAAAAGGTGAACTAACACTTTAAATCAAGGTTTCCTTTAAGCATAATTTAGATGGAAATGTAATACTGTTCCTAGGAAACGTTCCTCTTGCTGTGTAAACATGCACAGTACATCTCTTCTGGTAATCTTTATTTGAGTTTTTTAATACCTAGACAGATTTGATTTGCATAACAACTAGTGTGACATTTACTGAGTAGCCTGGTAGCATATGGTGAGACTGACATGAATTTAATCCTCGGCATCACCGAAACACAATAAATTATGTTCTCCCAACATGTTCATCAAGATGATTAGCAGAGGATGTGGAAATAAAAATATACTATGAACGTAAACAGTTTGGCTACAACACCGGGAGACAGTAAGCACATAATCGTATGCTTCTAAGCGTGATTTTCCTTTATATTCTCTCTGTCTGTGGATTTCTATCAACCATGTAGCGACTTAAGCATTATCCCTAATTACTCAGCCTGTATAAAGACCACATATTTGCACATTTTTAATTTGAATTATCAGGGTAAAGCTGAACTCCAGGAACTAAAACTTCTATTTCAATATATTTCAAAGGCTACAAAAGGATATTGGTGTGCTACATGTCTTTGTAAACCCAGATAATACCTTGTAAAAGTAGCATTGTCCCCGTGCAGTATATAGCCTGTACAGGGATGTAAGGAGGGACGCAGCAGATCCTCTCTCTAGGACAGAGGGGGGGGGATTTATACAAGACCAGTCACCCTGCACAAGCAGAGAGAGCAGCAGTGACTGGTCGCTATTACAGGAAGCTTCCTGGACAAAGTGTGCTAGTTGTCAATGCTGAATTACTGCACAGATATGGAAGAAATACACAAAAGACACCAAGGTCCAAGCAAGACTACACATGGGACTTGCATTTGCACATTATTTGCTTATGCCTGATGTTAGCTTTAGGGCTGGTTCACACTGGATGCGGCTTGGCGTGCGATTTGCATGCCCTGCGACTTGTAAATCGCATGCCAAGTCACACCCTATTGTCCGCTATCAGAGCGGACTTATTGGTGCGGTTTCAAAAGTAGTACATATACTACTTTTGTTGCGATTTACATAGACATCTGTGTCAGATGTCTTGCAAATTGCAAGGAAATTGACATCTCACCCAATTTTTAAATTGTGCGACTTCACTGTAAGGCGCACAATTTCAAAATCGGATTTGATGTGAACGGAGCCTTAGTGCCTGGTCACACCGGTGCGATTTCAGGTGGGATTTGCTAATTGAAATCCTACCTGAAATTGCATCTAATGTGAATGTCAGTGTCTTAACGTGCGAATTTGCATTACTTTTTCTGCAGTTTTGTTGCAATTTCACATACATAGAATATAATGGAAATCGCACTGCAAGTTGCAAGAAATCGTTGAAAATCTTCACAAGTAGCAATAAAGTCTTCAGAAATTGCACCTGAAATCACGCTGAAATTGCACACAAATCGCACGATTTTAAATCACAGCAGTGTGACCGGTAACTTCAAGCTGAAAACAGCTAAATACATGTGTACAGTATATACTATATATGGGGAGTGGTTACCTTGCAAAATAATTAGTATTGCTGACCATCCAGTCCTCAGGTTCACTAAGCTCTGAACCACAGCACACTCAGCCTGGTGATCTCGCTTTTCTCTATTGTAGATAAAAAGTACCATTTGGTCACCTCTCTACCCCCAGTCTGTGATTGGACAGTGAAGTAGCAGACTGTTGACTGGGTTCATGTCACTCCCTGTCCTTCCTGTCAGCTGGGGTTCAGTTTAGAGGCTGTAATCTGGGATATTATTATTATTATACAGGATTTATATAGCGCCAACAGTTTGCTCAGTGCTTTACAATATAATGGGAGACAATACAGCAACAATACAGTTCAATACAAGAGGGATAGGAGGGCCTGATCCTTGGAGCTTACAATCTAAGAGATAAGCAAATGTTGTGTAAATATAAGAGGCATGGGTTGAATGTTTGTGTGCTTTGTGTATTTCTTCCAAACCTTGTGATACTTTACTTCTTTGCAGGAGCTTCCTGTATTAACCTCCCTAGCGGTATGATTGCTTCAGATTTTTGGTGCTGAAAGAGGTACCATTTTTTTGCATGGAAATATGTATTTTTTTATTGTAGGCCTGTCATTTTTAGGAATAACTCACTGAAATCTGTCCGAACAAGAGTCTAGTAAACATTCCGGATATGATAAAACTTGAAACACAAAATCATAAATTATAATTTAATAAATAATCATAAAAAATAATAATATGATAATAATAAATGTAATTCAATAATATAATCAAACCGAAAACACTGAAATTTGAAATATAGCGCTAAGTTCGCACATCACTGAGCAAAGTCGCAGAATCATTTTCAGTGTCTGATGACGAATTTCCCCACAAATCATTATCACTCAATTCTGCAAGTGGTTCTGATTTACTATCACTGTTCTCTAGCTGCTCTAAAACCGATTTTGACGTAAAGGGACGCTTTTTGGACGCCGTGGACTTTTCTAAGTTTCCAGGCAGAAAGAACAGTCAAAATGCAGGCAGGGCGCCGGACAAAGCAGTAGGGACAAAATGTACGTGAAATGCTTTGATACAGGAATGTTTTGGTATGAAATAATCATTTTAAAAATATGTAATTTTTTTTTTAAATTTTCAAATTTGCCGTACGTCCCGACGCTCGCAGGGACCTGAACACGGAAGCCGGATGCTGGCATCGGCCGGAGGAGATGGCCGGGGACGCTGCAGGGGACGCATCGCGGGAGCGAAGGACAAGGTAAGCGCTGCAGGGATCCCTGTGCAACGCTGCATGGTAAGCATGAGTGTAGCTCGGGGTTACTGCTTTTGGTACTGAAACTCTACCCCGAGCTACACTCGGGAATACCGCCAGGGAGGTTAAAGACCAGTCACTGCTGCTCTCTCTCCTTATGCAGGGTGACTGGTCTTGTCTCCGCCCCCTCCTGTAGTTTTACTGCAGGCAGCCTGTAGTGGTCGGGGCCTGCTGGGTTCCTCCCACAGCTCTGCTCTCTGCACAGGCTATGTACAGCACAGTTATTATCACTACTACTTTTACAAGGAAATATCCAGGTATTTGGATTATATAAACTTGGTTTATCTTTTATTGCGTTAAATTCTACTTCATTAAAACATTTAGCTTACATGAAAAATTAATATATACAGTTGCAAGAAAAAGTATGTGAACCCCTTAGGATTATGTGGAGTTTTGCATGAATTGGGCATAAAATGTGCTCTGAACGTCATCTAAGTCACAACAATAGAAGAACACAGTCTGCTGAACATAATACTATACAAACATTAGATGTTGCCATGGTTTAATTGCACATAACATGTAAACATTCACACTGCAGGGAGGAAAAAGTATGTGAAGCCCTAGCTTAATGACTTCTCCCAGAGCTAATTGGAGCCAGGAGTGAGCCAACCTTGACTCCAATCAGTGTGATGATATTGGATGTGTTGCTGACAGCTGTCCTGCCCTTAAAAAACACACACCTGTTTTGGGTTTACTGGTTTCAAGAAGCACTGTCTGATGTGAACCATGCCTCGCAGAAAAAAGCTCTCAGAAGACCTACGATCAAGAATTGTTGACTTGCATGAAGCTGGAAAGGGTTACAAAAGTATCTCCAAAAGCCTTGATGTTCATGTGTCCACGGTAAGACAGACTGTCTACAAATGGAGAAAGTTTAGCACTGTTGCTACTCTCCCTAGGCGTGGTTGTCCTATAAAAATGACTGCAAGAGCACAGCACAGAATGTTGCATGAGGTAAAGAAGAATCCCAGAGTGTCAGCTAAAGACCTACAGAAATCTCTGGCACATGCTAACATTTTTGTTGACACATCTACAATAAGGAAAACATTAAACAAGAATGGAGTACATGGGAGGACACCACGGAGGAAGCCAATGCTGTCCAAAAATAATATTGCAGCACGTTTGAAGTTTGCAAAAGAGCACCTGGATGTTCCACAGCACTACTGGCAAAATATACTGTGGACAGATGAAACCAAGATTGAGTTGTTTGGGAAGAACACATAACACTATGTGTGGAGAAAAAAAGGCACAGCACACCAACATCAAAACCTCATCCCCACTGTAAAACATGGCGGAGGGAGCATCATGGCTTGGGGCTGCTTTGCTGCCTCAGGGCCTGGATGGATTGTTGTCATTGATATGAAAATGAATTCCACAGTTTATCAAGACATTTTTCAGGAAAACGTAAGAAAATCTGTCCGCCAACTGAAGCTCCGCAGAGGATGGGTGATGCAACAGGACAATGACCCAAAGCATACAAGTAATTCAACAAAACAATGGCTGCAACAGCACAGAATACGCCTTCTGGAGTGGCCCAGTCAGAGTCCTGACCTCAACCCGATTGAAATGCTGTGGCATAACCTTAAGAGAGCGATTCACACCAGACATCCCAAGAATATTGCTACACTGAAACAGTCTTGTGAAGAGGAGTGGTCCAAAATTACTCCAGATCGTTCTGCAGGTCTGATCTGCAACTACAGGAAACGTTTGGTTGAGGTTATTGCTGCCAAAGGAGGGTCAACCAGTTATTAAGTCCAAAGGTTCACATACTTTTTCCTCCCTGCACTGTGAATGTTTACATGTTATGTGCAATTAAACCATGGCAACATCTAATGTTTGTGTAGTATTATGTTCAGCAGACTGTGTTCTTCTGTTGTTGTGACTTAGATGACGTTCAGAGCACATTTTATGCCCAATTCATGCAAAAGTCCACGTAATCCCAAGGGGTTCACATACTTTTTCTTGCAACTGTAGGTGCCCAAAATGTTAAAATTTGCAGGATTCAATTAACAGCTGGTGATCTTGCCATGAAGGTGTTGTATGGCTTCGATGAATGGCACAGCTAGATGGAAAAGGGCTATCCTTGTAAGAGCCTGTGAAAGCCTCTTAGTTGTATTAACCCGAGCCACATCAGAAGATTATGGCGGCAGGGGTAGGATTGGAGAGATTTAGATTAAAAGAAGAGAAATCAGCACACAGGATATATTTTACAGATTGTAAATTATGTCCTTTGTGCTGATCTGATTTTTCTTCTTTTTTTTTATTTTAGCTAGACGCATGCTTTACGTCTGGAGGAATAGAAATTTAATCTCCAAGCACAGAAAGGTTTCTTCACAGTAAGAGCTGTGAAAATGTGGAATAGACTCCCTCAAGAGTTGGTTCTTGGTTACACATAATATAACTGGATACTAACATTTGTAGGTAAAGTTGATCCGGGGAATATCTGATTGCCTCTTGGGGGATCAGGAAATAATTTTTTCCCCTGCTGGAGCAAATTCGATCGTGCTTTGCTAGGATTTTTTGCCTTCCTCTGGGTCAACTGTGGGTGTAGGATTATAACCTTTTTTTTTAATGGTTGAACTGGATGGGCTTTTGCCTTTTTCAGCCAGACTAACTATGTAACTATGCTTTAACTAATACTATGGAATAATTGAAAATGCATTACATTATCCTTGAAGATACCTCTGAGTACTAACACAGACTGGCATCTTCTCCTAGGGCAGTGGTCTCTAAACTCAGGCCCGAGGGCCGGATATGGCCCTTTGCTAGCGTTTATCTGGCCCTTGGGGCACTATTCCTAACACTGACACTAAATGTGGGGCATATTTCCCTCAACTGACACAAGCAATGGGACACTATTCTTCCCACTAATATCAATGATGGGGCTCTATTCCATCCACTAACATCAACAATGGGCCAATATTCCTTCCAGTGATAGCAATGATGGGGCGCTACTCCTCCTACTGACCACAGGCACTATGCAACTGAACACCACACCTGAGACCATGTTTGCTCTCACAGATGTTGGTCCTGAAACTTTTTCTACCCCTGCTGGCCACAATTCGGTCCCCTTAAAGTCTGAAGGACAGTAAACTGGCCCTTTGTTTGGAAAGTTTGGAGATCCCTGTCCTAGGATATCACAGGGAAGGCTGGGACAAGGGAGGCTGCAGAAAGGGCATGTGCCCTGCGCACAATTTTATTATGGGGGGGAGACAGTGGGAGCTTGCTGCACAATACCTTACCCACCTCCCCTTTGGATCCTCTAGTTGCCTACTTGCCAGATCCCTGCTTATGGCACAGAGAGCAGAGGGAGCAGCTGAGAGCATGCCTGGACAGTGCAGGATCTCCTCCTCACAGTGGCTTACCATTGAGGATCTCTTCATCAGCTGCCGCCGCCGCCAACATACTCTTTGCTCTCCAGAGTCCTAGAAACCAATGACATGATTCTCTAGCATGCACACCAGGATAAATCTTCCTCTGTGCAGAGCTGATGTGCCCCTGACTCCCACTTCACGGTTCCTGGCTCCAGCTTTGTAAGGTAAGGAGAATATGATCTAAGGAGGGACTCCTAAGCCGTATGTGCACTTTCGTCTAGGGGGGCACTCCTGATCTATATGGGCACTCTTGTCTAAGGGGGCACTCCTGATCTATATGGGCACTCTTGTCTAAGGGGGGACTCCTGACCTACATGGTCACTCTAGTCATGAGCAAGCGCTGAGATGGCATGAAATGCAATGACTTCTCCTTCAACCCACAGTGTCTTGCTTTTACTATTGAAGCTATTAAAACAAAAGTGGATTTTTTTTTTTCAGAGTGCAGCCATCCAAGTGCACTTACATATATGGGAACTCTAGTCTAAAGGGAGACCCTGATCTATATGGACACTGTAGTCTAAGGGGGGACTCCTTATGTATGTGGGCACTCTAGTCCAAGGGGAGACTCCTGATCTATGTGGGCACTTTAATGGGGCAACTCCTGATCTATATGGGCACTCTAACCTAAGGGGGAACTCCTGATCTATATGGATACTCTAATCTGGTGGGGGGGGGACTCCAGATCTACATGGGCACCCTAGTCTAAGATAGGACTCCTGATCTAAAGGGGGGCTCCTATTTAAGGGAAGATTTTGATCTACAGGGGGATGGCTGATCTAAGGGGGCTCTGATCTGAGAGAAGATATTGATCCAATAGGAGGACTCCATATTTAAGGTAGAACTCTAATCTAAGTAGGGGCTCTGATCCATTGGGAGACTCCTGATCTAAGGAGGGATTCTAATCTATGGGGGTATTTAAGGGGGATTCTGATCTAAAGGGGGACTCCTGATCTAATGAGGGACTTCTTATCTGAAGGGGAATTTTGTTCTAAGGTAGGCTCCAAGGTATGAGGGGGCTAATGTAAAAAGGGACTCTGATCTTAGGGGGGACTCCTATGTGGGGGGGATTGTTATGTAAGGAGAGACTCAGTTGTAAGGATGGACTCTGATATAAAAGGAGATCCTGTTGTTAGGGAGGACTCAGAGGTAAAGTGAAACTCTCATATAAGTGAGGAATTCTGATGTGAACGAGGGGGGAAAGTGTTGCAAAGGTGGCTAAGTTATCCACGCCTATCTTCCTTGTCACTGCCTGAAATGCATTTAATGGTGTTAGACCTGAAGGGGACTCTCCTAATGGAGGGAGGGGGGTTCCTGTATTTCTGGAGGGAGGGGGAGGGGTCTCCTTTTACTTGTCTGTATTCCTGGATGGATGAGAAGTTCCCCCTCTGATCACTCCCATGCACTCTTCCTATTCAGAGATTTCCTTCTATTTCAGGGGGTCAGCAATCCTGGAGGGAAGGGAGGGGGTTCCTTTGATAACCTCCCTGCACTCCTTGGTGGTGGGGGCTTACTGAATATTTCCCCTGTACCTGGAAGTGTGTATGGAAGTGTGCGTTTCAGCTTGGTGCTGCACGCATTGTTGTTAGCCCTGCCCACTACTCCACTCGAGGGGTGAGGCGCTGTTTGACATCTTTGCATTGGGCACATTTTCCCAG